GTCTAACATCATCAGCTCCTAGTCTAACATCATCAGCTCCTAGTCTAACATCATCAGCTCCTAGTCTAACATCATCAGCTCTTAGTCTAACATCATCAGCTCCTAGTCTAAAATCATCAGCTCCTAGTCTAACATCATCAGCTCCTAGTCTAACATCATCAGCTCCTAGTCTAACATCATCAGCTCATTGTCTAACATCATCAGCTCCCTATTTTATACCATCATCCTTTTGGCTTATATTTATAACATCTTGCATTCATTTTCTTGTGTTTGTTCCAGCCACTATATTTATAATACTTCTAAGCCTAATTGATAGGAAAAATTGATATCATGGAGCCATAGAAGTTTGAATTTATTAGTGTGGGAAATCAAAATGCCTACCATCAATACCAGTAACTTTGCAACAGCACTCATTTTGTCCACCTCCAATAGAAACAACTTTATTTGGTTTTCTAGTTACAAGCAGCAAAGTGTGTGCAGTTTCTTCTGAATGTGCCAATCTGGAATATTGATTTCCAATTTGGAATATTGGGCAAATGAACTCTATAATTGCGGGTAAAAATGATTGTTTCCCCAGATGATTTTTGAAAATTACAGGCATAACAAGGATTCTTATTTTCACTAAAGAAATTGGGAAACAGCCATAGGAATGGGTGAAATTGACCAAATTATTGGCCCTTTGTCAGATTTATGGTAGCTTTTGCCCAATTTTCTAGTTTGGCTTGATTAAAATTTGAATTTCTTTGAATACTATATATAGAGAGAGAGACGATTCCTATCGTCTCATATCTTTTAAAGTTGGGTGAATCGGAGTGATTTACTCCACCAAATTTACGTTACGTTCAGGTTCAAGATACCGGTATTCATTGCGGCCTCACGGCCGCAGCAGTTACGTCTGCAGACCGTACGTGCGTGACGGTCTCCGTCGTAGAACCAACAACCCTTGGCGCCAATTTTGAGGTCCTTATATAGGGAGCAGTCGTGCACACTTAAGCCTAACCCTCGCACTGACGCGCATTCTTTCGAATGGAATGTCCCTCGCAACGCTGAGCGTCAACGTTTCAATGTAAACAACCTTTCCCACGGTCTCGCAATAACGGCCCGCATTCCTAGCATTCTTAACATCTACGCATAATACACGTTCAATATTACCTATGTTCAATATTACCTACTTTATTCAGGCTCATGTACCACTGACATTAGACAGAATGACAATAAGGGAAATGGCCACTAACTAAAATCCACAATTGAGCCATGTAATTTAATACATATTGCAAATATATCACTTTTAGTCTACTTTGGAGCTGCAAGATTTAATAATAATAAAAATAATAATAATAGCAGTTTCAGCATTTAGTAGGAAGTAGGCCTGTTGCCGATTCTAAACATCACAGAACATTCACAGCATTTTGCAATCTCAGATTCGCAACTCACTGCTACAATTCTGCTTTGCTTAACCGCCCGGCCTCCTTGCCGATTCTGACCAGAAACTGGCGCACAGAGCTGGGATCAAACCCACGCCTCTCCACTCCAATCATGGTACTCTGAACTGTAACCACTGGGCCACCCAGTGGTTCAGTAATAAGCATGAATTCAATAATCTGGTTGCAAAATTTTTTTCTAGAAAGGTAAATAAATTGTCAAACATTAACTCCCATCAATGCCACTATGATGGCCACAGCACTTATGTTGCAGCCCTAAAAAACTATCTATTTTGCAAACAAAATTTATTGGCAATTTATAGGTCATTGATAGGCAACCAAATGTGAATATTGGGAATAAATTTCTTAAAATATTGCTAAAAAAATGATTTCAAGAAATTGAGGGTAAAATTATACCATTTTTCTCAATTTCTATTGAAGAATTTGGCAAAGGGCCATGGGAACTGGAAGTGTTGGAAGGAATGGGTGAAACTTCCCAGATTCACAGGTGTTTTTGTCCAATTCATTTGTGACTTCTGCCAATTTTTCACTTTGGATTGGTGAAATTCAAGTGTCATTGAATGGCAACTAATGTGTCATCAAATGGCAATTTATGTCATCAAGTGGCAATTTATGTGTCATTGAATGGCAACTTATGTGTCATTGAATGGCAACTTATGTGTCATTGAATGGCAACTTATGTGTCATTGAATGGCAATTTATGTGTCATCAAATAGCTACTCATGTGTCATTGAATGGCAATTTATGCGTCATTAAATGGCAACTTATGTGTCATTGAATGGCAACTTATGTGTCATTGAATGGCAACTTATGTGTCATTGAATGGCAACTTATGTGTCATTGAATGGCAACTTATGTGTCACTGAATGGCAACTTATGTGTCACTGAATGGAAATTTATGTGTCATTGAATGGCAACTTATGAGTCATCAAATGGCTACTTATGTGTCATTGAATGGCAACTTATGTGTCATCAAATGGCTACTTATGTGTCACTGAATGGCAACTTATGTGTCATCAAATGGCTACTTATGTGTCACTGAATGGCTACTTATGTGTCATCAAATGGCTACTTATGTGTCACTGAATGGCAACTTATGTGTCATCAAATGGCAACTTATGTGTCATTGAATGGCAACTTATGTGTCATTGAATGGCAACGTATGCATCAATGAATGGCAACTTATGTGTCATTGAATGGCAACGTATGCATCAATGAATGGCAACTTATGTGTCATTGAATGGCAAGTTTGCAACTCATGCATCATTGCATCATTGAATGGCAACTTATGTCTTACTGAATGGCAACTTATCACAGTGGGTTGTGCCATTGTGGCAATCCCAAGATTTTTAAGTGTAAGAAACTTTTAATTTCCTCATTTGTCTTAGATTTGAATCAATATTTTATGTATTATAATTCTTTTATCCATGACACTTTGCTGGTCTACTAAGACGAATTTTTTTAATTTGACAGTACTTACAAAAGCAATTTAAATTTTTAATACATATACTGCATATCAGGATTTTTTGTTTAAAAATCAACATTTAGAGTGAACACAAATATTCTAAGAAATAAAGTTTAGGTACCAACAAAATTTTGAGTTAAATGTTTTTTATTGAAACTTCATAAAATATTGTGTTAGGTACACTGGACTTGTATATGGTCCAATACGACAATACCGTCAAATGGGGTAAAAAGGGACAGTTTTGAGCATTTTTTGTTAATAACTTCTTACCATGAAACATTTCATAAACAAGTTTGGGCTCATTTTAAAGGTCTTTGCAAGGGCTATCATATGGCATCTCCAAAAAAATTCCATATGCTATTTGTGAGGTGCTAGATGCAGTATATAAAAGGCTCCTGAATTAATCTGGAAATGGGGTAAAAAGGGAAACTTGAAATAAACTTAATTTTAAACATTTGAAGCATGCAGAGTGTACTTGCCTATTACTAACAGTACTCTGAACTCCTCTTCTTTTGTAGATTATGTAGATGTTGAATAAATGGCATTTTCTGTGTTTTTTAGGTACTTGTTTTTCCATTATTGATACAATAATACCATATTCATACATTATCATATTATTGATGTGATATTACTGTATCCATGGACATGCCATTGTGCATTGACAACGACCTTGTCCAATGCAAGCTTCATATCAGCAGCCATGTAGCATTTATTCTGTATCTGAAAGCTTACAGTACAGCTTGTAATTTCACACCATTTTAAATGGGTCAGTCAAGTGAATTCACTATAACAAAAAAGATCATAAAAACTTACCTGAAACAGGAAGGAATATTTTAGTGACAACCATCATATTTTTTTTGAGAAATAATTCATAGTTTAGATTAATTACTTTTCATTCTTTGTTGTCCAGTGCGCAATTCTATCTGTGACATTCTATGCACAATTTAGTGATGACTGATGAAGTAATTTATTATCAAGTGAAGTTTTTTTCACTGAGCAAGGTAAATGTAATCAAGATTCTTTGTTGTTAATTGATTTTTTCATTAACTGGAGCTTTTGCTAACCAAGGTTCTACTGTAAATGCAATTTTAAGGGTGCCCCGTATTACCCCATTTTGCAGAAATGGCCACCATTTTTTTTTTTTTTTGGAATGAGATATG